TGGTCTCTGAATAATTCCCAAGATTGGTGATTGGAAAGAATAAATAAAAAAAAAGAAGGCAGAAAGTAGCAAGGTGGGCAGAACCAATGCAATAGTGAAGAGTTGTCTCGGGCAACAAGGTAAAGCCTGGCTTGGGGCTGAGTGTGGTTCTAGTCCCCAGGTGGGCGGGCTTGGCCCCCACAACATCCAGGGGCCTGACTGGGCCGCTGCTCCAGCTGTACAGGCCCAGAGAGCTCCCCACACCCCTTTTCTGACCTCCAGTCGGCCCCATTCACCAGCCTCTGTTCAACACCGGAAGCGGGGAGGGACAGGTTGTGGAGGGAGGCCAGGCCTTACTTATCTCCCCCAGCCCCACAGAAGAGCTTGGGCTCAGGGGTCTAGGTGGGAGCAGGGAAGAGGAGGTGCGGTAACAGCCCTAGCTTTCACTTGAACTTTATAGCCATTATGGGGGCCAAGAGGATTTTTTTCAACCCCATCTTCATAGCCCCTTCCCCAAACATGTGTGGTTCCTGTTTTGCTGCATCTGTAAAAGGCAATGGGAGCTGGGGACTTGCCTTACACCTCTCAGTTAACACCCCTGGAGACTGATGGAGTTCAGAACAGTGTAATTTACAGTCCATCTCTCCGATCTTAATTCACTGGATGCTCCTTTCTTCCTTATTGTATTAGTATGACCCAGGTACCTGCCAACAATAATGGCCTCTTGAGCTAGGAGCCTCCCCCCGACTCCCAGGACAATTTATACCTTTTCCTTGGGATTTTTCAACCTTAAATTAAACAAAAAGAGGAAAAATAAGAAAAGGTTAACATGGGTTTGGAGCGCTGAAGCCCCCGTGGTTCTGGGCAGGGAGCCAATGGCCCGAGGGCACACACATGTGTGTGCTCTCCCAGAAGGGCCTTCACCGGCCCTGTTTTACAGCCACCTCGGCACAGACTCCAGGGTTCACGCATATGGCCAGACAGATGTGTCTGGCTTACATTCAAGGCTGGAAAATGAAGAATTATGGAAGTGAAGGGCCCCGGGCATTAAAGGGGGGGGGGGGAGGAATGGGGGAATTTTTCCTCTGCTGAGAAATCCTCCTGTGGCTGTGAGGCTGGAAGAAGGAGGCGGACAGGAGGCAGGGCCGCCAGCAATAGTGCATGTGGGGCCTGTTCTTAAAGGGGCCATGGCAACCCAAGCTCCAGCCAGCCTCCAGGAGATCCTCAGTGAGGGGGCCTGAGCAGCCTCCTCTGAAGGAGCTGTTGTGGGGGGAAAAGGATTCCTGAGCAGGGGTGGCTATTCACATCTTACAGAGACCTGCTATTTGTAAGGTACTACATATGGCTGGGTAAGGCAAGGCTGAAAACTGAACATATAGCACTCTAGATGGACAGATCCCTCATTATGTGTTACTGTAAGCCAAACAATCATTGGTTCACACTTCAAATTGCTTGTTTATACCCTGGCTTCTCATTGTAGACTCTGAAAGACGTTTTTTTTTTTTTTGCTCACTCCTGTGTCTCCCAACCACTGGCATAGTAGTGTTCGCTACCAATTCTACTTTTAAATGAAGACCTGGTCCCTGATTCCAAGTTTACAATAACATGGGAGAAACAAGTTCAGGAAGAACTGTAATCCGAGACATGATACAGATTTCATAAATGAAGTCTAAATCAAGGCTACAGGAACACTGAGGAATGAATTCCTCCTGGGGACAGTTGGGGAAGGCTTCACTGGGGAGATGGGAGTTTCACCTGGGGATTGGAGGAGGAATAGAATTTAACAGGTAACAAGAAATGTGGAACAGGAAAAGGATACTCTGGTTTGAGGGAACAGCATTAACTTGACCTGAGAGGAGGAAAGTGTGTGTAGGGAATAGTGAAGGGAGAGGAAGGGTGGTGTTGTTGTCCAGGTAGGAGGGACTGCGTGTATGGATAAACATTTGACAAGTACTGTCTCATCTTGGCCTCATATCAACTCCACGAAGTAGGTGCTATACCACTTTCATTTTCTACACAAGAAAACAGGCCCAGAGAAGTTAAATCATTTGCTCAATGTCATGTAGCTATTAACAGGGGATGAACTTGTGGGAGAAGAGGTTGGAAAATTGGGGACAGACTGGAAAGTCTTCCAGGTCATAATAAGAAATTAAACTTAATTTTACTAGCCAAGCAGAGGTACTGATGATTTATGAGCAAGGACAGTGGATCTTTTGTAAAGAGAATGATAAAAACACCTCAGATGCATTGGAGATTGTTGTTGTTGTCAGTTGCCATAGAACCGACTCATAGCGACCCCATGCACAGCAGAAGGAAACAATGTCCGATCCTGGGCCAGGCTCGCTACCGCTGCCACACTTGAGTCCATCAATGATGCCACCTGGCCAATCCATCTCGTTAGGGGTCTTCCTCTTTTTCTCTGACCCTCCACCTTACCCAGCATAACATCCTTCTCCAGCGACTGTTCCCACCGGACAATATGTCCAAAGTATGAGAGATGAAGCTTAGCCATCTTGGCCTCCAAGGAGCACTCTGGCTGCACTTCTTCCAAAACAGAGCTATTGGTTCTTTTGGCAGTCCATGGCACTTTCAGTATTCTTCTCTAACACCACAACTCAAAGGCATCAATTCCTCTATGATCTTCCTTATTCACTGTCTATTGGAAGTAGTGAATGTTAATTATGACTGTGTACTACACACCTCTTTCTCTGCTATTGAGAAAGGTATATAGTACACAGTCATAACTGGAAGACCCCCAGCGAGATGGATTGGCAAACTGGCATCGATGGACTCAAGCGTGGCAACGATAGTGGGGTTGGCCCGGGATTGGGCAGTGTTTCGTTCTACTGTGCATAAGGTCACTATGAGTCGGTATCGACTTGATGGCACCTAACAACAACAACAACTACATATCTCTAGAGGTGTCAGTCACAGACTACAAAATAAATGGCACCACCTGGAGTTGCACAGGAGCCCAGGTGGCACTATAGGATAAGCACTGGACTATTAGTCACAAGGTCGGCAATTCAAACCTACCAGCTGCTTTGTGGGAAAAGATGTGGCTTTCTGCTCCCATAAAGACTAATAGCCTTAAAACCCTATATAGGGTCGCAATGAGATGGAATAGACTTGATGGCAGTGGGTTTGGAATTTGGTTTGTAGAGACCTTGATTGTTACAATCAAGCAAGTACTTGAACTAGAATAGTAGTAATGGCAACAGTAATAGAAGAGGAAGGGAATAAATGAGTGAATAAACAGGATTTGATAAGAAACTAGAAACTAGGGTTAAAAGACAGGGTGAGATTTAAGATGATGCATGATGCTCTCTGGCAGTGGTTACGAATTGGGCTGCGAACCTTAAGGTCAGCAGTTTGAAACTAAAAGCCGCTCCATGGGAGAAAGATGAGGCTTTCTGCTCCCGTAAAGATTTATAGCCTTGGAAACCCTGTTCAGGGTCGCTATTAGTCGGAACCGACTCCACGGCACTTAACAACAACAACAAATGATGCTCTAGTTGCTACCATCCATTAAGCAACTGAACAAATCTTTGCTAAAAACTCAGCAGTAGTAGAAAGGAAGAAGGACATCAAGAAAAAAAAAAAAAAAGAATGGCAGTAAGGAAGCCTGGGAGGATGGTCATCAGAGAAAGACCAGGGTTCATTTGTGCTAAAGTGAAGCTGGAGGAAGGTGTTATTGGAAAGCCAATTATGATGAGACAGAGATGTGATCAAGACAAGTTCTTGCGGGGGGGGGGGAGGTTGGCACAATTTTCTGCAACTGCTTGAGTGAGAGTACAGATCAAGGAATGGAGGTGGTTAAGTATAGATAGGGTTTTTGGGAGGACTGTGGGTGAAGCAGCAGTATCGGGCAGAAGCTGGAGGATGAAGCCGACTTGAGGATCGTAGGCAGGGATTTAAAGGCAGATGCATGGAGGGAGCCCCCCACAATGGACAATGCTGGTCAAGGTATTTACACACTTGATTCTATCAGGGACATGAATATATCTGAGGAACGATGGATCTTAACTGCTGTTCATTGTTCTTTGCAGGTTAGAGCTCTATCTGAGGGGCTGTTAGACTGCTAGAGCATACTCACCATTTATGGAGCATATACTATGTAATTTGCACTGTACTAAGCACTTGAAAAACACTGCCTCATTTTAGCCTGAGTGAATCTAAGGGCTAGGTGCTGTTACTTTCACTTTACAGACGAGGAAACAGGCTCAGAGACGTTAATAACTTGTTCACCGTCACAAAGCAGTAAGTAGTGAAGTCTGCACTGCAATCAGGTCTGTCTGATAACATGGCTCTTAAATCCTGTGCCAAAGGAGAGGGCCAGTTGAAGAAATATTTGAAAATAGACATTTCTGAAGACGCTGTAGGGAGTGGCCTGATGCTCCCCCATGTATATACGGTTAGTTATTAAAAGGGACTAGACCAGCCCTTCTCTGTCTCCACTGAGCCTGAGATCAGAGGGAATGAACAGGATATCCAGAAAGAAAGACTTGCTGGAAATGAGGGTACGGCTAACTGAGAGGGGGCACGGTGGAGATTAAGTCGTTTCTCTCTTAGTCAGTGAAAACAGTGTACTGTCTAGAGGGAGCTCTTTCAAGACACTGGGAATCCAGATAAGTAGATTGTGCCTATGACATCCTCTTCCCCTGAGAATATGTACTCTTTAACTGTGATTCCATGGTCTCTCTAGCAGTATCCTGATAAGGCGCAGGGGAACTGTGAAAGTCAGAAATTATATGAAAGATCATGTATGTGTGGTATGCTTGAGTATGTATTTATTAGATCATTATTGGGGAGTATTTCATCAGGTTCTCTGAGAAGAACTTACCTGACCTTAGAACCCAAATATGCTCCCAGAATTGATTGGTAAAGAAAACAGGGGTGGTGCTAGATGGGACAGACATTGTGAGAGCCTTGCTGAGAGGGTCCTGCTCGCTCCTACTGCTAACCCACATGCCCCTCCTCATACCCACCCTGTTGGGGATCACCTTGCCAACAAATCCCACCTGGATCTTTTCCTGGCGACGCTGCTGTTCAGCTATTTTCCTGGCCAGAGCCAGCTTCTTGGCCCGAAGTTCCCTGATGTCATCTTCGCCCCCACTGCCTTCAGCCTCTGAATCCTCTTCAAAGTCTTCAATCACCACATCCTCTTCCTTTGTATGATGAAGTCGACAGGGGAAAGAGGACACTGTGAGCCCGTGGTACTTACCCAGCCCACCCTCCGACCATTTCAGGCCTCCCCTACCATGCTTATTGGGACCATTCCCCGCAAAGGGACCCCAAGGTATGTGTGCCCCTGTAATCAAGCAGGGAGGGGGTAAAGGGAAACTGTCACTCTTCCCACCAAATTGTTTCCTTTTGCACCCTAAGGCGCTTTCCTCTTACAAACCCCAGACACACAGGCAGAAGGCACTCTCACGCACACATCCACTGCCACAAGTGCACTCACAGCTCTTCCATCTTCTAGCATACTCACAAGGTCAAACTTTGAATCTATTTTCATTTTGAAATCATCACAGGGAGGAGGGGGAACAACACAAAGAGATAAACCATTCAATTTCAATCTAATTCATGCTAATGAGTTGACAGGAATCAACTCTAACCAACAGCTGGGAGTTATGCTCTCTTGCAACAGCCAGCGTCAGGGTATAGATGCTCCAGCTCAGCAGACCTTGCTCTGGTTTCTCTTTAAGACCACAGCCTGGTGGTGAGGGGGCTGCTGGGCTCCATTATGGGAATTCACATGATATGACCCAACAGGGTAGGTGGTGGTTGGCTAGCTTTAGGAGCTTGTTGCCAGGCTGGTGAAGCACTCCCCAGGGATGGCACCTCCCCATGTGCAGCTCTCAACCACCACTGTCCGGGTGGTCCCAGACTCCATTCCTCACTCTCTCACTTTTGGCCTTGGTCAGTAAAGAACATGCAGCTGGCTAAGAAGCTTCCTTTGAAGGACAGAGTTAACGTGGGTACATGGGGAGAGATTTAGTAAGAATAGATGCCTGTTTTTCTGATTGGATGAGAATTATGACAATGGTTATAACAGTTACCATTAACTGGGTGCTTATTATTGGCCAGGTAATGGGCTAACCATTTTTCATCTACTAACTCATTTAATCCTTATAACCACTTATGAAATAGGTGCTCTTATCATCTGTACTTTATAAGTGAACAGAGAGTTAAATAACTTGATCAAGGTCACATAGCTATACAATGACAGAGCAAGGATCTAAACTCAAGTGAGTCTGACTCAAAATCTGCACTGTTACCTATCCTGGGCAAGCAGCATTGGGCTTCTTTGCTAAAGACTGCCTGATTGTGGATTGTAAAACCCAGATCCAGCCCTTAGTAGCTCAGTCTCACCAGGTCTCCCATCAGCCTGCCTTGGACATGTTCAGTACACACTAATTTCTTCTCTCACTGAGCACAACAGATAATTTGCAGATAGATTTTCTTGGCTGAAAGTGGTTGGTACAGTGTGTGGGTGATGCGAAATATTTTGTCTTGAAAGCAGAATCTAGGGGTGGGAGATGGGTGTTTTTGGTAGTACCCTTGAAAACTCTGTTCTATTCAGGAAGGATGATGTCTGAAGCCCCCTTTTGTCCTTTTTGCCTCCCAATCAGCATAAATGACTCAGTCCTACAGTTGGGAGAGAGATGAGCTCTAAATGGTCCAGAACTGCCATTATTCTAAGAGGTCTCAGGGGTCTGGGGTCTGTCCACAATCACATGCAACAGTATCACAGGGTTCACCCTCCAGAGAAACTCAGGCCATGGGAAGGAGGAAGGATCTTTGCACACTTACTTCCTTGTTCACAGGTTAACCTGGGCAGGAGTGAGGCGGACAGGATGCCTGACTGGCCCATGGGGTAACTTGGCTTCTCTGATCAGGGATCTACAGGGTTATCATGGGGCCTGGAGGGAGCTTGATGGAGGTCAAAGGAGGGTCAGAGAGGCTAGTCTGAGGTTCGCTCAGCTCTCACAGCAAACGAGGAAGTGCAGGGGTTATGAAATTACACAGACCAGTGTAAGTAGGGTTTCCCAGGGGCCACTAACATAAAAGAACCCAGGAGGCCACTGGAAAAAGGAAGAAGTGGGTAGCTTGGTGTGGGCCACAACCTTTGTCTGGTCAATAAGCCTTAGAAGGATGGGAGAGTGTGTCACAAACAAGATTTGGGACCAGAGAGTTGTTCTGTTCCTTGTAAGAGAGGAAGAAACCCAGGTGGCTTTCGCCCCATGCCCTTTCCTCTGAGCTTTTCTTGCTTGGTCAGATTTGGTACTACAGGCACTACAAGGTCCAACTGACATTTCTTACAGCAACCCTGAAAACTGCCTGCCTCAACCGTAAAGTGTGGATGAGATAACACCCCGAGGTGCTGTGCCATCCCTGCTTTCCAACACAGTGTGCCCAGGGTGTGGGTGGCACTTTGCCCTGCCTAAAGCCTGGACACTCCAATGGCTTTAGCAACTCCACTGTCTCCTCCCATGCTGACAGCTCATTCTTTCCCGTTATTCCCTGCCCAGGTTTCATCTGGAAGAGTCTTAAATCATGGGCTCAGCTTTATCCCTGGAACCACCTCTGTCCTGGAAGCTGAGCCCTATGTCATCAGGGAAGGGGTGGGGTTCTCCAGCGATTCTAATGAAGGCAGTCCAAGACTCAGCTACTAAGACTCTGAACCAAAGGTGGCTACTCTATCACTGCCTCAGATCACAAATGACAGCTTCCAGCTGACATCTGGCTTCCTTGGCCTGCTGCTGATTTCATCCCTGTACCCCACCCTACTTCACCAGGCGCTTGAGACTGCTGCGGGCCAAATGACTGTGTTGGCCTACGGGTGACCTGGCCTCTGGCTAGAATCACTTCCGTCCCTTCCCTAAGTCCCATGTTCTTTCCCACCTCAATCCCCTCAGTGGGGTAAAAGAAGGGAATTGTCAACTTTCAGGTGAAAGTGAGGTATGTGTGTATACACACCCAGACAGAGTTACTCACACTCAGACACACAGCAGAACAGTGGGCAGTGATATTAAGCACATATATATGCTTCAGCACTGTCACACACTCACATTTATCAAGAACCCACACACAGCAGGGAGCTGGTAGTGGTGTTCAACACACATTGACATACACATCCAGGACACATGAATACACATCAACAACTGCACCCAGAAAGATACATACATGCATGGCAGGACAACTGCTGTTGGTGTTTATGGGGTGGGGACAGGCTTGAGTGTGTGTGTGTGTGTGCGCACACATACACACAGAGCCTAGAGTGAAGCAAGGGCTACAGGAACAACCAAGGGCAAACAAACAAGAGGAGAATTCCTTAATCACATCAGGATGTGCAGGAGGGAGGGAGCGAGTAAGAGAGGGAGGGCAGGCCGAGGGAGGGGGGTGATTTTCCACAGGGGCCAGCAATGTCAGCTCTTCCTGTACGTGTGGGGAGGCTGGAGTTCAGGCCTGTGCTGCACTGCACTCCACACATCTATAAACTTGATCCTCAGCCTGAACCCTAACACCCCCCTCTTTCTACTCCCTTTCCTAAGCCTCCAGAGCTGCACATTATTAAACTTTTTCTTTCCCTCCAGTCTCCTCCAATGCAACATTAAAAAGAAGCATCTGGAACGCGTAGTGGAGTGAGATGGAGGCACAAGGGTGGGACTGGCAGGAAGGGGCACCAGCAGAGTGCACTCTTGAGAAGCTGGCTGGTCACACTAACATAGACATGGCTCTGAGAGGTTATAAATGACTAAGAGATGCATCTGAAGCCATTGGCAAAGCAGGGCTGGGGTGGGAGTGGTGGGCTTCCCTCTGCCATAGTGCACTCTTCCCGCACAGTACCTCATCTTCCAGTTGTTTTCCCTCTTGGCTTCCCATTTCCTTTCCCATGGTGTCTGGGACGGGTGCCACTGACACATATTTTCCACCCTTGAATGCCAGCAGAGGCTCTTCTTGTCCACAAAGGGCTTCCAGAAAATACTTCAGCACTGTGACCCTTTTGCAGTCGGCTGCAATAACCTACAGGGTAAGAGAGAGAGAGAGAAAAAAAAAAACTAGTATTTTTTGAAAGAGAAGATGAAGATGAGAGAGATTGTTGATGAGGGACACATGAGAAATTGTCAAAGTTACAGGACAAGGGATGCAGAGTGAATGAGTTGGAGTGTGCTTGTGTGTACAGGGCAGTAAGTGAGAGCCAAGATTTCTAGTTGAATAAAGTTACTACCATCTCTCTGGGGTACCAGACAACCCCAGCAACAATGTCAGGGGCCCTCTCAAGTTTTACCTTTCCTGACCCAAGTTTTGATTAAAAAAAAAAAAGTATTCTCTTCCACTTGGCATCTAATTGAGAAGGTGAAGGTGGAGTGGCATGCGTAACACTGGGCTTTGTGGAACACAGCTCTCCTGGTCCCCCCACACACACACACACTGTCACTCTTCACTCTTTTCTCAGCTCCCCTCTCACCAGACTCCCAAAGAACTTGCAGCCTGAGTGCAACATGAATGATGAGGGCTTTCTTCACTGTTTCATTTCAGTCAGATCATTTGGGGCTTCCCCTGACAGGTTCCTGCCCCACCTAACAGTTTCTCAAGCTCAAGAGACTGAGGTCAGGCAGAAGATTATGAAGAGAAGGGAGAAAGGTAAAGCAGGTGGGGTGTTTCACCAGAGCTCAGCTCCTCCTGGAGTTCACACCACCCTGTCTTTTGTGGCTACATCAGCACCCGAGCCAGTACTGTCAGAGAAGCTGGATCTGATTTAGCTGAAATGAAATTCAGTATCTTGAGCAACAGTCAACTTTGTTTGTGTCTCAGATGGAGTTTCCACAGCCACCTAGTCTGGGGTCTTTCTCTTGTGTGACCACACATGAATGTGCTCACATCTACAATGCATTTCCTCCATCAATCTAGTCCTTTTGTGCCTTTTTCTTCACTTCTGGTGATCTCTCCTCTATCCTGTCAGGCTGCTCACCAAGGGAGATGAGAGGCCTTTGCTTGATCTGGAGCTGGGTAACAGGTGAAGGTCATATTGCATGGGAACACACTTCAGTGGTCATATATACTGCAGGTTGGCAGCCAACTTCTTCATCACTGACTAGCCCACACTGAGTTCTCACCATCACTCCGTTCTTTTAATGCTTCCTTATTTCATAATACGAAAGGGACTTACTTATATGTTTGCATCACACAGTAAATTACCAATTTTGAGACAGCTGGATAGTTTGTTCATTTTACAGATGGTGTTGTAGGATCAACAGTAGACTATGAACCACAAGGTTGTCAGTTCAAACCCACGAATTGCTCCTTGGAAACCCTATACATAGTCGTTACGAGCTGGAACTGACTCAACAGTGCGTAACAACAATAACAAAAGTACATCTCAAAATCTTCATATGCCACTGGGAAGGGTTTTGAGGGCATACAATAGGCTCTTAATAAAGACTGGTAAGGAGAGGGATGGGGGCCTGGGTACCACAGAGAGCACAGGAAGCAGGCATGATCTGGGTATTCTCAATGAGCATCATTTTGCCAGCTGCTGACAGGAAAGTACAGCACACTGGTTAACAATGTGCTCCATGACCCCATGCAAACTGGCCACTCTCCCCTTCTTAGGTGTGATCTTTTCTCTTCCTTTCTAATGGCTCTGCTACCACAATATGCTGAATTATCTTGACCACCTCCTCCTAAGAGGTGCTCAATTACCTAGAAGAGGGCTCAGGAGACACTAGTCATCTTGAGCTTGGGGCGCCCAGTTCTGGGTTCACCTCCTTAGAGGAGGAAGAAAACTCTCCTTGGGCTAGGGCAGGTGACCATGGGTTCCATCGCGTGTATTCAAACATGTGATGAGGAAGGCTAGAAATACAGAAGCAGGGGCTAAAAGGCATTAAAGAGCAGAGCTGAAATGAGTAATAGCCTGGCAGGCAGCACGCACAGTGGCCTCCCTGCATCCCCAGCCTCTCACTCACAGAGGAAACTTCTGCATTTCCACAAGACTGCCAGTTTCCTCTCTGTGGTCTAATTTTAACCACCTTGTCGTTACAGTGTGTGTCAGCCACCTGACCCCACCATGACCTCTGACCTTATGCCCTAGCTACTGCTTGCACTATGGAGAATTATGTAATAGGTCCAGGACTTTCCTTTTCAGTGTGAGACTACTACCACTGAATAGAGAGGAGGTGGGGGCTAAAGAGTGAGAGGGGGCTGGAGCAGAAGTTCAAGATGGGTCCCTGGCATCACCTGGATGGTGACAGAATCACTAGCAATCCCTGCTAAGTGTGCAGAAGAAACCTGCCCAGAAAGGTGGCGTGTGTAACACCGCTGTGTGCCTGCTGATAGGTGAGCAGGAAAATTACTGCTATTAGCACATGGGCTGGAAGGTGTGCTAAATGGCTCAGGGAAAAAGCATGCTCCCTGCCCAAGAGGAGAAAGGCCACACATGTGGATGTGGAACTTATGGAGATGGGGATTTCCAGGGCACAGCAGGGCCCAGAGATACAGACATCCTGAGCCTGCCTGTAAAACATCCTTAGAGGGTATTGTCAATGACATGGACCCAAGCAGTAACGAGGTGGTTTGTTGTTATTGTTGTTTTTCCTGGCTTTATTTTTATTTTCTCTATATTTAGAAAGAATCTGGCTTCTTTGGGGATTGGGCCTGTTATGGCCATTAGTACCTCCTCTACAGCAATGGCATTTCTGTCTGATTCTCAAAGGGGTTCCAACCCATCAGGATTTCTAGGCTGATGTCAAGATGCCTGAAAAGAAATCTTATCTGTTTGGAGAAAGAAAAGTCACTCAGTTTTTTGGAAGAGTATCGTTTCTCCTTTGCAATCCAAATAGTAGACAGAATATGATTGTATGGTTTCCTTGGGTGTCTACAGCAAAGTGTGGGAATAGGAGAGGAAGTGTAGAAGATGGGAAAACTGAGAGGTATAAGGTCTAGGGTTTGCCCAGGGGCACAGAAAACCCTTCTGGGTCAAGCCCCCTGGCCCATCTGCTCTAAGGTAGGAGACATAAGCCCAGTTGGGTGAGGACCAGATGGTTCTATAGAGGTTTTCAAGAATATTCTCCTAAACAAAGTCTCTACACTTGAGTCAGAAAAACAAACAAACAAACAGTAATGCCATCAACAAATACAGTTTAAATATGGCTAATAAGGGGGGATATTATGACAGAGGAAGTCCTTCAAACCACCTACAGAAAGCAAATTCCAAGACTATCTTTGTCTGGAGGAGGAGGAGGACTTCCTGGTAGGAGAGGGGTTAAAGCTAGTCTCCCTGCTTAGAAAGAAAGGAGTCCAGATGAAGTCTATGACATAATCCCTACAATAACTCTCTTCATGAGCACGTTTTTCCATTCTAAATCAATGAAAAACAGAAAATATAAATGGTATGTACATCACAGCTCTGGGCAAACTAGAATCTCCAGAGGCGAGAGAGATGGGCAGCAGAGACCTCCTTCCCAAGCCGCGTGTGACAAGCTGGGCTGGAGGTAGGTGAAAGGGCTACTGGCCAGGGAATACTCCTGGGGAACAGCACCTTCTCAGTGGCAGTCATGGCCATTCTGAAGGGAGACTCATTGTGTAGATTATTAAGAACTCCAAACTTATAAACAAAATACCTCGCAATTTTCCCAACTAGCTTTGAAAAGAAAACAGGCTTTCAGTCAGGGAAGAGCTGAAACAAATGCAGCCAGAGAAAGTCCCTTCCCCACTTCTCCTGAAGACCATCTAAGCTAGCTTGCCCAATTAGTGGGAACTGAAACCTCTAACTTCAGGGCTCTAGTTATCGCCCTGATCGGGACTACACGCAAAGAACCAAGTAGAAAGGAAAACTGAAAGTGAGATGTGGTGAGGTGATACAGGAGCCAGACTCAGTTCCTTAGAGAGAGAATGTGAAGACTGTGTGGGCTAAGTGGGCACTGGAACTATGGAGAAGGTTGGTCTTGAGGAAAGCAGGAAGAAACCTCTAGGTCAAAAGAGAAGGCAGGCCAACTGGGCTATCCTGATCTGGATGACAAGGTGGATAGCACAGAACAGTGTTCTCTGAAAACTGGTGATTGTCCACATCCACTCTGCATAGCCTAAGGACAGTTCCAGCAGGGATCTGAGCCCAGTCTGGGTAGAGATGTCCAGGAGGGGAACAGAAAAAGAGATCTAGGCTGTCTTATGGAAGGTGGGGGGAGGATGAGAGAGGGAAAAAGGAACTAACAGTTATTGAGCACCTAGGTGCCAGGCACCACATACTGATGTCCTCAGATCAGTCACAGGGAAGGAAGAACGCTCAATCTCTCTCTCTCTCTCTCACACACATACACACACATACACTCACACATACTCACTCACTCTCTCTTACATATACACACAGAGCCAGGGGACACGAGGAAGGGGTAGAGAGAGCTGAACTAGAACTCTGAATGCAAGCTCTAGGAAATGACAGCCTCACTCCATCTTTAGTGGGTTCCCATTTTCTCCAAATAAGCCTCTTGGAAGGCACAAGCACAAAAGTAGCTAGTTAGATTTTATAAAATCTTTTTCTGAACTTTTGGGTTTAGGGATCTGAATTTAAACTTACACTATCAGTCAGTTCTATTTTTCTCTGGTCTTAAAAAGTCTAGCTTGCTACTGCTCCTCTGGTTAAACAGAAAAATCACACGGGGTTTCCCCACAAACTCAAGTTTACAGGTTGTTTTTCTTGTTTCTCTAAGTGGAGCCAATTATTCTCACATTTGTTGAAACCTTCAATCAAACTTTATAGCTTGTTAATTTTACAGAATGTCCTTAGAGCAAATAAGATGCAGACAGGAAAGTGAAGTCTTGCTGAGATTATTAAAGAACCTTAAAATAGCCTACAAATCCACCACCAAAGCTGGTAAAATACAGACTGCTTGGCTAGTTTCTGAGGTCAATTAACAATGGGTTAATCATCACTTTTAATGAGTCAAACCTTCAGAATTGGCTACAAAAATTTTACTTCAGACTACTGTGTTTTCAAACTCAGAACCTCTAGCTATGTATGACTCCCC